CAAAAAAAAAAAACAAAAACGAAACCAACACAGCATTGGGCCACCACTCTGTCAAAAAAATACTACTGTTTGTAAGAATTTTTTCATAAATATCTATAAATATATGTTTTTTCAATTTTTTTGATATAATACTGATATATTCTTTTAACTTTCAGAAATATTAATTAAATACAATGGTGGCATAATTTCTACGAGCCCGTTTGGACATACGATTTTTTTTTTACTTTTTTTTGTTTTTCTTTTCGAAATTAGTATTTGATCATAAAATTTTCAATTTCCACTTGAAGATGAATTTTGGAATTTTTTGAAAGTTTGAAAAACTCCAAAAAGCTATTTTTTCAAAATTTTCACTCAGATTACTCACAAAAATTAAAAATAACCCAAAATTATGTTCATGTCCAAACACAACTCTAATTTTCAAATACCATTTTTAATTAGAAAACAAATTTCATTTTTTTTTGTTTTACAATTCTTATGTCCAAACGGCCACTACATATTTTTAAGTATCTTTTCTTATATGTGCACTGATCAAAGGAAGGAGTAATAATAAATAATAATTAGTAGTACTAATATATTACAGTTTTCAGCATCATTGTTAGTAATAATTACAACTATATTTTAAAGTAATTTTTCATACTAATAGTATCACTAAAATGTGCACAGATCATTATGGTTTTTGGTATCATTATTTGTACTATTATGCTGCAACATAGTTCCAAACTCATTGGATTGCATAAAATATCATTTTTTCCCTTTCTTTTCCTCCTGTGTTTCCTCTCTTCACTCATCAGCACTCAATCTAATCTAATCTCATAAATACATTTTTCTTCTCTCCTTTGATTCTCCATAATAATCTTAATTTTTTATTTTTTATTTTACTATAAGCTCTAATAATGTCAAAGTTGTGATGTCATTAATAAAGTAGTGGGTGAACCTGTTTATATATAGTTACATACTAGTACTACTTTTTTTGTTTTGTTTTTTCCTTTTGTTTACACAAAGGAATCTCTTTTTGTAGATTCCAAGTAGGTTCTTTTTTCTGGGTTTGTGTTAAAAATACAAACTTTAATAATGGGGAATGTTAATGGAAGAGAAGAAGTTAGTGGGAATAGGCAATCTGGGTTTGAGGGTTCAGGTTCAGGTTCAGGTTCAGGTTCAGGTTCAGGTTCAGGTGTTGCAGTGATGCAAGATAACATAATGGATGGTGAATTGATTGTGGGTCACTCTCCACCTTCAAGTCCCAGGGCTTCTCAATCTCCTTTGATGTTTCGACCTCAGGTTAGTTCTTGCCAAATTTGGGGGGTTTCCTTTTATGTAAAGTTATCATCTTTTTGTGTGTAAATGGTGGAATGATGTAGATTTAGGCTGGACAGATTTGTACTATGGAATTAAAATGGTTAGATCTGAAAAAAGGTCATAACTTTGAATAACAAATATGCTTATGGTTTGTTTTTGGAATGTCAGGCTCTAATTATTGTTCCTCTAATTATGGAATTTGCTTTATCAGAAATTGAATTGAAGAGTTTTACAGTAATATTCAGATTGTCTGAAAATTGTTAAGTGCTACCTTTTATATTTATCTGGGGGATTCTACTCCTTGAGGATGATTGAAAAATGTGAAGGCCAGCCCGGCGCACTAAGCTCCCTCTATGCGCGGTGTCTGTGAAAGGGCCGGACCACAAGGATCTATTGAACGCAGCCTTACCCTTCATTTCTGCAAGAGGTTGTTTCCACGACTCGAACTCCTGGTCACAGGGCATCAACTTTACCAATTACGCCAAGGCTCCCCTTTGATGATTGAAAAATGTAGAAAGATAAATGTTTTTGGCTTTAATGGATTCATGGAACAGCATTAACCACTTGTTAAGCACTAGCTAGCATTTTCAGCTACCTGGCAACCCAGGCTACATCTATATCTGCTGTGTTTACTCCTCAGAAATTTGGTGCCGGATGTTGATCTTTTAGTTTGTGTTCTCCTTTTAGAGGGATTATGTGAATTTGTTTATTTTGAAAATATTTTGCCCCAGATGCCAGTGGTCCCTTTACAAAGACCTGAGGAGGTGCACATCCCAAACCCTTCATGGATGCAAACCACCTCAGGGTACGACGACTTGAATGATGAGCAAGGAGTTCCCACACTGATATCATGGACCCATGACGGCAAAGAAGTGGCCGTGGAGGGATCATGGGATAATTGGAAGTCAAGGTTGTAAGCTTGATATTCTCCATCCATGCTCTACATTGAAAAAGACAAAATCCTCAACTTCTTGGGCTTAGATTGCAAGCTGACTCGGCAAATTAAACTTATTTTTCTCAGGAACCCTTTGCAAAGATCTGGGAAAGATTTCACCATTTTGAAGGTGCTTCCTTCTGGAGTTTATCAGTATAGATTTATAGTTGATGGACAATGGAGGTGTTCCCCTGACTTGCCATGCGTCCAGGATGAAGTAGGGAATACTTACAACATTTTGGATGTGAAGGTACATTTGTCATCTCAAAATTATTACCGTTCATATCCTCTCAAGGATTCTATTGAATTACAAGCCTAGTTTCTATTGTATTTCCAATAGAAGGAAACCGGATATCCAATAGGGACTTAGCTAATACACACAAACATATATATAACATACACTTATCAAAATTTAAGAACATTTCGTGGCCTTCGAGATTGATTGTAAAGGGCTTCACTTCAGTTTCCTATGTGAATATCAAATATGAGTCAGATTAACTACCCTGTCAAACCAAGAAGAGTATAATCTTGATTTGTTATTTGTACTTAATGCTCCTGTAAGATATTAGTTTCCGAAATGAAGTTTTGGCTTGTGAACACTGTAATGGAATTGAGCTTACAACCATGGGAGCCTCTCCAGTCTCGACTTTTTTGCTCTGTGACAATCTCATGATGGACACAAGAAGTGTCAGCATATGAATCCATGTTTTGTTCAAAAGTTACTGGGATATAGATTGTAAAGTGTTTTGGTCCAAACAGTTGACCTGCTGAATCTAGTTTTTTCTGAGATAAAGCCATAAATTTAACAGGAATTTGTTGTTATACAGTGGTGTCCATGCACCACAAACTGCGAAACGTAAGAGCCCTTGAGATGAAATACCTGAAGATGTTTCTGTTTTGTCAAAGCAAATCAATGACAAAGTAAAAAAATAGGTGAAGGTTTTCCTGAACCCCGCTCCCTGTAGCCATCGAGAGTCATAGAAGAAAGTTTATGGTTAATTTAAGGTAGACCTCATTATCTACACTGAAAGAATTTGTCTTGTTATATACCTATTGGAAATGTTGTCATGTTGCTTAGAGGATGTTGTTAAAGTGAGGGACCAGCTCTTCTTTACGTATTAAAAAAATTATGGAAGAGCTATCTCTACTCTTCTTAGTAAATACGGCCATAGTTTAGTCTTTCAGTGTGGAGTGTTTGGTGAAGCGCTGAAAAAGTAGACTGTAATGTGACGATCCATTTCTAAGGGAAATGATCTCTATCAATCTCAATGCCTTTTTTTTTTAATCTTTTGGAGGAAATTATATATATACAGAAGTATCAAGGAATGGGCTATGGGAATACTTTTACTATTTTCCTCCTTTTCTCCTTTTCTACTTTCCTCCTTTTCTCCCCAGCTGTCTATTCACAGTACTGCCAATCATGTTTCATGCATGCAAGCAAAATTTCCAAACATCTGATCTTTTTCATTTTGTAAAAATTCATTTATTCCACTTCTCATCGGAAGCATACACAGCCACCAATAAATTTAGTGTATTGTCTACATATTATTTTGCTGCCTTTAACCTTCACAGACACAACATATAGTTTCTTGAAATTCACGGGGACTTAGCAAAGAGTTGAACATGTCACACTGAAAGCAAAAGATCAAAAGATGTTTTGAAAGCAAATACGAAAACATTCATATACTGAAACATAGATGCCTGTCTTTTCTGGCTTTTTGGTGTAGACTAGAAGATGCCAACTCAGTAGATAGGATTTTAGATTTTTTCACCTTCCTTTCAGCAATGTAAAGGAACTGAATCCATTTGTAATTTTGGCACAATCTTTGTGCTCACATGTACATAAAACCATTACTTTTCTCAAAAAACAAAAGATCCATATATGCGATACCGAACAGTTGGGATTTAGGTTTAGCTGTGTTCTTACATTCACATTTGATCCAATGGTTTGCTTGGAGTCATTTTTTCAATAACCACGGTGTCCGGGCCAGCTTGCGTACACCTCAACTAATTCCACAAGGTACCTGCTACCTCCTACCAGTACAAGTATCGATTAACTCTGTCCACCAAGGCTTAGACAAATGGGAAGAAATCACCTAGTGTTTTTGTCTCCGCTGAGATTTGAACCCGAGTTCTCATTGGTTCTCAAACCACTTTATTGATTACTATGCCACACCCTTATGTGCTTTGTTAGGAGTCTTTTTTGTTTAGAGAGTTCTATGTTATTATAGGGGTAAGTTTAAGATTTAGAGATCTCTAGTTTTATAGAATTCTTATGAGTGTTAGAATGAAACTTGACTCAAATTGAGTGACATAGATATATATTCATATAGTCAACCTAACTACTTTATTATCGATATGTAGTTATTGACTTATTATTGTACCAGTTATAGAGAAAAAAAATAAAGGAAAAAGAGAGCAAATACCGTGTTGCTGCTGCTTGAAATTGGGCTTATGAATGTCTCATAGGCATCCTACTTTAGCACCTGCATCCCACCGCCAAACCTGTTGTTACTCAAAATGGTTGCAGAAAAGAAAATGCTACCGAACTTTTAAGATGCTAAATTTGACTTGTGTACTTTATAAATAGTTTATATCTAGCAGAGAAGAAGTAATGGAAGTAATAAGTGAAAAGTTAGTTTGATGTAGAAAATATCACATCAAGTTTAAATATGAATAGTTGAGATAATTGAGTACTTGAAATTTGTGAAAACTGTATAAAATAACATGAATACAGAAAAATGTCAAGCATTCTGCCATATAAAAAAAAACTACTTAGTAAGATTAGATGACTGTTAAAAGGTAAAAAAAAGTGTTGCCATTTGTTTGTAGTGTGTGAGCATATCAGCATAGCTGGCTTGTCTACATATTATCAGCATAGCCGGCTTGTCTGGAAATACTTTCTATTTTTCATTTTGGGGTTGCCAAACTTTTATTGGACTATGTTCTTGATACTGTCCTAAGGAGCACAGTATACTCTCTCTCTGTCTCTCTCAAAAACTGAGAAGAGGAATGAGTTCGAGTCTTTTATTTCCTGGTGCCAATTGATTCCCTTCGCTTTGAAAAGTCACCAGTTGACAAAGGTTGTGGCTGATTAAAAACTAAACTGACAAAAGCTTGTACATTTTGATGCATGATGCAGGATTATGTTCCTGAAGATATTGAAAGCATTTCTGGGTTTGAACCTCCTCAGTCCCCAGATTCCAGCTACAGTAACTTGCAACTTGGAGCAGAGGACTATGCCAAGGAGCCACCTTTAGTTCCGCCTCATCTACAGATGACTTTACTCAATGTACCTTCATCTCACATGGAAATTCCACCTTCTCTCTCGAGACCTCAACATGTGGTACTTAACCATCTCTACATGCAGAAGGGCAGGAGTACGCCGTCTGTGGTTGCACTTGGTTCAACTAATCGATTCCTCTCCAAATATGTGACAGTGGTACTTTACAAGTCCATACAGAGGTGAAATTTCCATAACACCCGTCTGGATGATAAGTCTTTTAATAACTTAAATCTGGTGACAAATTATTAGAATTCAGGCCTGGCTCATGGCCACTCAAGAAACAAGGGAAAAGAAAGAAGCGGTAGAGGAAATGTTGGGAACATCAAATTCTCTACCGTGATTCGGTCAGTTTACGTGTAAGCACTTAGTCCTTATTTGCCTCTTTTTTTCAGTTCCAACATCCAATGAGTAGACCCCTTTTGACTTTGTTGTCATACAATAGGTGTCGGTTTTATTCTCACTATCCCTTTTCCCCCTTTCCCTTCTTCGACCCTCCAATGTAATAAAAAATATTTACTTTTAAAAAAAGAAAGAAATGTGCTTCATTTCCTTAGCGAAACCTATTTTCTTGTATTTCTGAGAACAATTTTCAAAGTTGTGTGAGAACCTAGAGTTCGACAAGAGTGGGTTGCTCTAGTAGTGAGCACCCTCCACTTCCAACCAAGAGGTTGTGAGTTCGAGTTACTCCAAGAGCAAGGTGGGGAGTTCTTGGAGGGAGGGAGCCGAGGGTCTATCGGAAACAGCCTCTCTACCTCAGGGTCGGGGTAAGGTCTGCGTACACACTACCCTCCCCAGACCCCACTAGTGGGATTATACTGGGTTGTTGTTGTGAGAACTAGAGTTCGTTTTCGTTCAATTTAATTGAACGTAATTGTCATGCAGATTACTGATTGTTAGATTCATTTAGCAGTGGTTAATTTGGATTAAAGAAGTTGGTGTATATCTCATTTCAGACATGGAATACAAATCAATCAGTTCGATCATGCACACTAGCTATGCAACCACATGCACCCTTTTTAAGTTTTTCCATGTGATGCTTGTTTTGCTAATGTGATGCAACCTTAGTGTAAGTCTACTGATATTGCCAGATGAAATGAGTGAAATACTACACGAAAGTAAAACTATAGGTGCAACATTTATAGGTGTTTTTGAAGGAATATTCTCAAAACAGGAGAAGAGTTAGGAGTTACAAATATATTAGTCCTATATAGAAGCAATATCTATCACTAAACAACCAAATATATTGGAGAAAACCAGAGCCAGTAATCTACAAAGCTTATGTTTCGTTCGACTGGAGTCCAACAGTTGCATTTGATGTATTACACTTGCAATTAAAACAAAATAGGAGTATATATTAGTTGAACAGTATTAGCACTTGAAAAGGAGGAACTCATTGAACTACTTAATGATTGACAAGCAAATCATTTACAGAGCACAAAGCTATCAGTTACTCAAAATTACATCAAACGCTTGTTATAAATAACTTGCACCAGTTTAGACTTGTTAAGACTAAACTTGTCTAATAATATTCAAAAGATCAATTCTTCTTCTTGTGGGCTACTTGAAAACTGGACATCCTGCCACTACAATTCCAGGGGCTGTAGGGCAAGTTGCCAAGGGACAGTGGTCTAACTCAGTTCCCCACCATTTCAAATTCTTGCCCTCATTTTGCAAAGCAAAGAACAATAAAACACCCATAAAAGCTGTACCAGCATCCAGGGCAGCTGACAGAACATAGTTGTATTTCTGCCACCATTCTTTTCGGTATTTGAATACAAAATAGTTGAATATCATTCCGGTAATGAGCCAGCTAGCGATATTGGTTGGCGTGGCTGGTGGCATTCCGGCAAAACCATAAGATATAACTGGTATGTTGATCAATGGGATCCATTTCTTTTCAGGGAAGACTTTGCTTAGCACCCAAACAGGCACCGGCAGCACTGCACCAATGAGGAATAACCATACCAAGTTCCTATATAATCCTCCGGAACCAAACAATCGTTCTGGTCCAATTAGACCCCATATGACAGAAGCGTCAAATGTGACTCGGAATTTTGGACAGGTCCATGGGCTATCAGGATGAAGAGTCTCAACATCACAAATGTTCTCGATACTTCCTAGCATCCACCATGCCACTGCAAGGTTGACTGTACCGGCAACCAGTGTCCCAACAAGCTGGATGAAAGGAAATCAAGAAGAATGAAGTGGAAACTAGGACATCCTTGCAAACATATTAGTTTGAATCGTTCAAAACAGAGAAACAAGTTACTAACCTGAGCTGTATACATGCATCGCGGTGGAATTTTCATGTAGTGACCAAGTTTAAGATCGGCTAAAAAAGAGAGAGCATGAATGGTACTGATCCGGCCATAGATTTTGAAAATCAAGTTCGCAATTGGTTTTCCTGGGAGGACGTAACCAATTATGAACTGTGCAATTATGTCATATCCAGGTTGCTGCATTGTAATAACAAGTGCGTCACTGAATTGGACTCCTATAGGTTCAAGATTGGAATAGCACTTTAATAATCAAGAAACTAAGCTTTCACCTGGTTGGTAGTCGCTTGAATGACTCCTATAGGGAGAGTAACAATCCAAGCAAGACCAAACGCAAACAGCATACCCCACCATGGCAGCTGCACATCTTCTTTCCATACAAAACACATCAGAAGTGACAGGGCTATGCTACCGAACAATAATACGAGGTACCACCACTGAGGAACTTGCTTGTAACTCTTCATCAATTTTGCATGGATGTCCAATTTGACATTCTTCACAGCAGATCTACTTTGCTTCCAGATATCACTGGCCAAGGTAAAATCATAGCAGATTGTCAGTTCACAACTTCATTAGAGCTGTTTCTCTCTTACAAATATCTTGCCACTTAAATTGCTCTACACACCAAACTTTAGCAATTAGTACCTAGTTGTATTAGTATTTCTAAAATAATGTATATCGATTCTATCTTAGCCCTACGATACCTAGGAACTTCAACACAGAATGCAACTAAGCAATGAATCTCAATGCATCTTCAAGATTAAGAGACAAACCCTGCAGTCAGACAGCCGAAAATGGCTTCAAGATGAAAGTATATAAAACTTTGTGAGAGGCTAACCTGCCATGAAATAGTGCAACATGTGTGAGGGTTGCTGTAAACCTTGCGAATCCTGATCCAATTGAGAGGGCAAATAAAGGACTGAGGTAGAGCTTGCTGTAACTTTCATAAGCAGCAATGTTGAGATCAAATTGTGGGGTCAAGATCTTAGTGGTATCATATTTGTGTCCGCTAGATGTAAACAGCTGATTTGAAAAGATAGGAAACTTCCGGGCATCAAAAGTGTTGTACTTCCAGTAACATAGGGGAATGATGATGTATATGAACATAATAAAACCAATGCCAACATTAAGAATCGAGGACCATGGTGCCACTAACGGACTGCCATGATATGCTGATATACCAGCCCAATCGAGAGTAAAAGCACCCACGCCAAGGCCATGGTATCCAGAGCCAATTTGCTGAGCTGTGATACTACGTGGCCACGCCCAACAAACCCATGAGAAGAAGGTCAAAATCGGAAATAGATAGCCTGGGAATGCATAATATGCGAAGCTTGCTGCCATAAATACAAGGAAAAACTGCATCCTTGTCAAGCCTCTTGTTTTTTGTTCCTTCTCGTGAAGTGCCCTGTTATGAGAAAGTCGTATATATAAAAAACACAAAATAGATCAAAAAGAGCTGATAATATAACATTGTGCAATTTGGTAACTTGTGTTAAAACTGTTCAGTGAATCACCAGCAGTATCGACATTTTTCAATTTATACTATATTTACAGATACTGCGGCAAGAATTCTCATCAGACATCATCGAAATTGAAAAATATCGTATATTCTTGATTGCTACTTTTCACCTTCACTGTGCTATATTATGTATTATCTCCACTAGATTGTTAAAACGGTGCATAAATCAATATTGGCCAAATGAACTTGTCCCATAGCCACTGATCAGAAAACCTAAATAAGATTCATTCAAGCATTTCACATCCAGTAGAATAGAAATGAAAGAATTCAGATTTGATCAAGACAAGTTAAGAATTTAGCGTTTAGAAGAAATAAACATCATATATAGTGCTATCTTTTTGTTGCATTTGAGATGGTACTGAATATTATTTATAACAAAAGGAGAGCCACAGGTGCAGGAAGCAATGATCAAATAGAAGGGGAACCTGAATAGGGAGACTTGAGCAAGGTTTGACGGCCACCACATATCCACAGGATCAACCAAGTATCTCCTCAACATCCCAGCCCATCCATATCCCACTATCTGCACAATTTTTCATATTATCAGAAACAAAAACTTGAGGGAAAATGTTTTCCTGTAAAATATTTTTGTTCAGAAAATTATTTTCCAATGTTTGGTTACATTAGATTGTGGAAAATGTTTTCTCCAGAGAAAATACATTCCATCAAAATAGAAAAAATACAGCTATACAAATATCAAACTCTTACTCATTATCACTTACTTCAACTAAACATCAGACACTGTTGTCAACCTTTAATACTCAAAAATAGCAGCAAATACTATCATCACAGCTTAATCCTCCAATTTATACGGTTAATATACGTCGCAAACATTTATCCTTTTTGTATGCGACGTATATTATAGTGTGCATACATTTTCCTCCATACCAAGTGCATGAAATTCAGATTACAAGAATAACGACTGAAACGTGTCAAGACAAATAGACTACAGTTTGATGTATATAGTGTGCTTAACTTCAACGCTTTCCCTTTATCCTTTTTGTCTTTTAGTGACTAACTCAAACTCAAATCAAACACCGAAGCTTTCAAGAAGGAAAATTCAATAGAACTTTAACCACAGACTTCAGATTATAGATATATGTCTTTAAATTCCATTTATTTCATTTTGTTGAGTAGATGGTTTATCAAAAACAGCCTCTCTATCCGAGTTAAGGGTAAATTGTCACTACCCAACCTATATCCCACTATCGAGATTTCACTTGGTCGTCGACTTGTCGTAGTTGTTGTTGTCGTCTTTAATTTCCAGTTATGCACAAGTAAAAGAGTATAATAAAATGAAATGTACCTGAGTGGTCAAGACAATAAGAAGAGCACAAAGGAAATTCAAGCTTTGCTTATAATAAGCCTTCATAACAGTAATAGCCCCAATGGAATAAGCATCGCCTCCTCCAATGGAAACACCGCAATTGGCCATAACTGTAATAATAACATGCTCTTTGATATTAAATGGCCCTGGATTTAAACTAAAACCCCATCTCCCAAACAGAGTGTAATTCTTTTTAGGAAGTGTAGCAGCCATGAATTTCCCAATTGGGAGCACAGCTATTTGCATGAGAATAGCTGAAATAGTTAAAGGCTGAGTTCTGTAGATAAAGAAAGTGTTGAGAAAAATCAAGAGAGTGCATGAGGTCAGTCCAAGAAACCATGCTCTGAATGTCATTACAGGTAAAGTGGGGTCGTCTGTTTCTGGAACTACCAACGCCACCTCCTCCACCGGACATCTTTCGTGATCAGCTGGTG